CACCAAATGGTGATTTAAAAACCTGTCCACAAATTCTTAGAAACTCTTCCTGTCTAACTCTTGTCTGCCTTAACAGAAGTTCTCAGTACTTGATTCTAACCAATAACAGAAGGGCTAGTGCAATAACTTCAAATGCTAGGCTACAAAAGGCAAGGCAGTTTCTGCCGACCACTTTCTCTTGATAGTCTTGTTCCTGGAACGCAGCCAGCACGCTGTGGAAACCCCAGGCCATCCAGAGAGGCCACCTGCAGGTGTGCTGGCACAGCTTCACTGAGGTCCAACAGCTGGTACCAACTACCAGACCGGAGGTTCACGATCCGACTGCATCTGCATGGGACCGTATGGCTGAGAGGCTGAGCACCAGAAAGAGAGACTTGGCTGCTGGCTGAGGGCCAATGACTGTATCCTTACTGTTTTCTGATCTTGACTGGTGGTATACTGATAACTTCCTACTACAGCCCCTAATTGTATTGTCTATGATTTCTATCGAACCTAGACAGAAGCAGAGTGCCGGGGAAGGAACAGTTGGTGTCAGAAGAGCAAAGAAAGACGGAGGGTCAGGGAATGTCTGACCTTTGCTTCATGGCAATAGGGAAACCAGGATATCGGATATGGCCCTTCTCCACCTTGTTTTCAAAGAACTTTCAAAAATTCATATAAAGAAAGGAATACATTTCTTCAAAATAACAATTCAAAAATTACTTTTAAATTTAATTTTGGAAATCATTTTTTTAAGACTTAAAATTTAACCAAAAAGAAATACCTGTAATACTTGCTTTTGATTCATTCTTTCTTGCCATTCTTTTTCATCTTCCTCTTCAGAACTGGAAGTCAAGCACACATTTACAAGAGATTGAGTCCAAGGTGCCCGTAGTTCTAGGAGTTCAAAAGTGAACAGAGACAGCAAGACCTGTGCTGTCATTACTCTTGCAGTCTAGTGAAGAACCATGTAGTGGACAATGATACGTTATTTAGTATCTATCATCACAAGGGAAAAGCGG